AATAGTTTTTCTTTTCCAGTACAGTATTAATGTTGCTTACATTTCTTACTTTTTAACAATATTTTAAAAGAAGATATTAGGTAACATCATTAATTCCTTTTGTGTTTCTAGCTTTAAAATACTTATATATTTACTAAGGTTTCCATTAGAGTAATAAAATGCTTTGACAAGATTTATGTTTGTTCATTTGTATAAGAATTTACTATATACCAATGTGGTTTTAAATATGCTTTGCTGAGCTTGACATTTTTGTCAAGGACCAGAGACTGAGGCAGATAAAATCACAATTTGGACCTATTTTTTATATATAGAAGGTTTATATATGATTTTCACATTCCTAGAAATAGGAATGATATATCTTCCAGTATTAAAAGAATAAAAATTCTGTGACTAGTGGAGTACAGTAAAGGCAATCCTACTTGAATTAAACTTCTGAAACCAAGCCCGTATATATGGCAGTGTTCTGGCACAATAGATTTAGATCTCTTGATGGAGACCATGAACAATCTACCTTTGCCTTCTCCAAGCTCTCCTACCTTCTACCCGGGGAATAATCATAAATAGGATCCCATACCAAGGTATGCATGTATGTAAAGACCATGTTGTGCATCCCTACTTTCCTTTGGTAGGATGGAATTGATATGGAGTAGAAAAAAATATATACTTTGAATTTCCCAATTGTCTTAGATGCTAAACTGCCCCTGAAATAGAATGAGGCAGTATTTGAGCATTTATGAATATTGGATGAATACTGATCAAAGATTGGGCAAAACTCTAGTGTAAATATCTAAATGATATGATCAAAAATATGATGAATGTTTAAATTTAAAATTACTACAGTAAAAAACATTCTATTAATTCTCCTCAAAATACTCCCCTGTCTTCGAACACACTAGGCCATTGTTCTTGCCACTTTCTGAAGCAGTTCTGGAAGTTAATAGTATAATATATACATTTTTTAGTTTAAATGCTCTTTACTTTTAGACTACCTACATGACATGTTTTTTTTCCCTAAAAAACAATCCCTCCACTCCAAATAAAGCACGGTCAAAATAAACAAAGCGTTCAAGATGACATCAGTCCCATTTGTCTAAAATCCCGGTGTTGTGTGGATGACAAGCAGCAGCCAGTTATGTCAAGTTATTGATCCAAGGTAACCATGGAATCCATTAACATTTTTCCATTTCTAAACCATCCTTAAAGAAAATCATAAATGGGGTCAGACCATCCTCACGGTAGTCCAGGACAGCAACCACACCATCTGGATTCATATTTGCACCAATAAAGAACTGATAGTTTTTGAAATTAGCAAGGATGTGTTTGATTTGTTCTGCAGCCCCTGTCATAAAAGGATTTACTCTTTCTGGCCTTTGTTCTTCAGGTTTGCCTTTCACTGATTTCATATAATCATTGATGTACTCCTTGTAGGCCTCTTTTGTGAAGCTGGTTTCCTGCAGGTGAGGGTTCACGACAATATCCAGCCCAGTGACTACCGTGCTTTCGGTACCTTCGCCCTCCGAGCCTTCAGCGGACGCATTTCCACCAATGAGCGAGTCATCAGTTACCCTCTGTTCTACTGACTATCTTACCCTCCACCTCCAGGCACAGTCCGCCCGCAATCTCCCGGATCTTGTAAATGTCGGAGAACTTCTCATCATGGCTGATGAGGTCCCGAAAGGTAATCATGATAGTGGCTGAAGGGAGCCGCGGCTGCGCTAGTTTAGCAGGAGCCCGGAGCTCAGAGCGAGCGCGGTGCAGCCAGAGCGGCGCACGGGGTGGGGGGTGGGAGCGGGCGAAAAAGCTAATATGATAATATTTCAAAAATAATATTATTTAAATATAAGTTAATAATAATTTTTAATTCATCATATTTGTTGATTACACCTTGTAAAATCCAGTATAGACTGGAATGTGTGAAGCTGCATGTTATTCTAATGGAATATAGAACAGGGATAAATTTTCTCCCTCAGGAACCTTGCGTGAATCAGTAGTTACCCAAGGCAAATACCTAACAGCAGGTGTATGGTAAATACTAGTAATCATCAGGAAATTATCAAATACATGATATGTACCAAAGTAATGCTTACATCACTTTGGAACTTGATTCTACCAAGGCAAGTTGAATTTTGACTGAACAAAAAGTATACTTTCATCTTTTCTTTTTTCATTTTTTTTTTTGATCCCTATAGACAAAGTGACTCACTAGTACTTTCCTGTGAAAAAAATTAAAAATTTATACAACCATTACATTTGAATTCTTTCATTTTGTAAAATGACCATGGAATATATGTAATGATAATACAAATATTTCTGGACATGTATTTTGTCATTTCAAATGAATATAACATTATCTACTCCAATAAAAATTATAAATGGATTTTTAAGCTAATGAATCATGAAATATTTTGTTGAGTTACAAGTGAGCCAAATGGTCATATTTATTTTAACACCTGGAAAAAGTCAGGATATGCACAGCTGGCTGTTAGCTTGTCACACATTCCTAAGTTTACAATTACTACTAGTGTTCTCAAACCAAGTCTACTGACAAACAGTTGCAGGTGGCCAAGATGTTTATGTGTGGAAACAGCTTTACTCAGCAAAACCTAATAACATATCAATAATATAATCACACTTACTTTACTTTGAAAACAGTATTTAAGAATGGCAATTTCTAAATATGTTTGAATTATTTAAAGCATGCATAATACTTCTGAGAAATGTATAAATATTACCCTAACTTTGAGAAAAATTCTGTAAATCAAAGAACATTTAAGAATACTCTTAAATATTGATCTGTTAAAGTCTAATTATTGGAATATTTCATATGCTGGAAATAGCCACATGCATATCTCCAACTCATTCTCTAGACTGTTAAATCTAGATGAAATGCAGCTAATATCCCAGAGGAGGCAATAACATAGTTTTATAAAATAACCATTTTTAGGTTTTTGAATTCTATTTTTCTAGTAATTTCATTTTGTTTTATATTAGTATATAAATAACATATAATGAATAACCAAGATGGGTATTTACACACCATGACCTAATTTTTGAGAAAACAATGACATGGTCATTGAAATCCCAGGTTCCTCTTCCTGCCCTCACTTCCCCTTTGTCCCTCAGAGATAGTATTTTTCTCAATTTTGTGTTTCATTTTCTTGCTATTTTTAAAGGTTATACCACATCCAGTTGTATTCCTAATCAACTTATTGTTACTTTTAAACACTGATATTTATATTAGTGAAAAAATACTATGAATGTTGATGGACACTGGCTTATCTCCAGTTCTTCCCTTACCCAGTGACCCTAACAACTATTTTGCACAATTTTCTTGGTATAGGTGGCCGGAGTTTCTATTAGTATATGTGTGTGTGAGTGCATGCATGCATGTGTGTGTGTAATGTACTAAATAGGTAAATATGCATTGTGCATATATGTGTATCACACATGTCAAAATTATATTATATTACTATATAATTTGTCAATTTTTTTCTTTTTCAGTACTTGAGGTTGAACCCAGGGAGTGCTGAGCTATGCTCCTAGGTCTTTTAAAAAATTTGAGACAGGGTCTTACCAAATATGAACTTTCGATCATCCTGTCTCAGCCTCCTGAGTAACTAGGACTACAGGCATGCATCACCATGTTCAGCATTAAACTGTTTTCTAATATGCTTTTCATCTATTTGTACTCTCAAAAGCAGTACAAAAGTGTTCC